GGGGGGGGGGGGGGGGGTGAGGCAAAGAGACTGATGACATTTCAGACCAGCCAGGAGCAAAAGTAAAACCACCTGTGCCAAAATCTGGGAGGCAACCTCTCCTCCCCTTCCATGCTGGCTGTATTGTCTTTGTCTAGGGGCCAGGGGTGTGGGGAGGGTGCAGAAAAGGTTAATGTTCAATTATTATTAGCTGTGGTACACATAGACCAGAGGGCCATTACTTACTGTCTTACTCTTTCTCTCTCTCTCGCTCCATAGGGCGGGTAGGAGAGAACACTGGGAACAAGGTTGGTACTTGTAGATAGGTCTAGATGGCATCATCCCTCTGATCCTGGGAAAACTACTTCTAATGAACGAAAGCATGTATGGCACTAATAAAATAAGTAAAAAAAAAAAGGAAAATAAAATTCGGCCTATACCCCAGGCCTCATCATTCACTTTTACAGATCAGACAAAACACTCCTTATAAGTGACGTCGTCATTGTTGTTGTTATGGATGATTCCTGAAAGGACCCCTGGAATAAAATTGATGTTAAAATTCAGTGCATCATACACACGCAGGAGCACGGAGTAGGAAGAAACATTTGTCATACTGTCCAGCGGTCAAACCTAAGCATATATGAAGTACCTACCAACCAACGACGCCATTTTGCTTCATACATGTATCTTTGCATTTTTGCTTCTTGAATTAACATCTTCTTCTGATTTGAAAGTGGCACTATGACAACAGCGGCTAGGCCGACATGGGACACAGCAAAAGGCGGTCGAGGAAAAGGCGAAGGAGATCTTTCCGCGCTGTCAAAACAGTATTCGAGTCGTGATTTGCCGTCGCACACAAAACTAAAACACAGGTATGAACTTACTGTAAATGTAACCACAACTTTTTGGCCTGTTGATGCTAAATTTTCGCTCACTTTCTTTTAATTTCTGACTTAATCAGGAACCCTTACAGTGATGGTGGTTTAACGCATTACAAGATTGGTGTTCTTGCTGAAAACTTTTGGCGACATTCATGATTGTTGTGAATGCCATAATTTCCCAGTTCGTTTCTAGCGTCTCCTTAATGTACTTCCCTGCTTTTTTGCTTCGTCGTGAGAGACCTCTGCTAGCAGGGAATTAATGTACATGTATATAATATGCATTCACGCACGTCATTAAAAATGAAATAACATGCCTTGATTACATGGAGAGTGGAACCCTGTTGATACGGTCATCAATGGGCCAAAAAACTTTGGCCTGTTTACGAAGTGACTTTATTAATGAGGGCTTTTTTACAAGAAAATGTATGGCCATTTTGCCAGACTGCCAAAAAAAGTGGCTGAATAACAAGGTGACTGTATTACGCAGGTGGCCTTGAGGCGGGGTTTGGGATTTATTCCTTTCTTCTTCAAGTGGCTTTTCACAGAGTAATGAGACACAAGAAGTCATGTTCATGAAATTTTTTAGGCATGTAAGAATGAAGCTGTTAAATAGTATTTGCATATATATAGCTGTATCTTACATTATTTGTTACCCAAAAAATGAAAATGAAGTAAAAATCCACTGTGCCAAAAAAAGGGTGTTGGTTGGTGGTTGAAATAATGGCCACATGCAAGAAAAAATATGGGGTTTCAAGCAACTTTTTGTTTCCAGCATTATGGTGTCACTGTGGGTGTTTTTCTAGAAGGTTCTATATTAGATTTATAGATCCACTCAGTTCTTCACAGGTATCCTCCAATAATGTATTTTCAGACAAGCAGGGCAGGATACTGCAGAGGAATTGCGTGGCCGAGACTTCCGCAAGGATTTGGAAGAACGTGAAAGACTAGCAGCTCGTGAAAGAAACAAGGAAAAAGGCAGCAGATATGCCAGTGAACAACCAAAGAGACCTCGTTTAGATCAACCACCTCCTTCTAATTTGGATGCAGATGACCCTGTTGATGATGATGATGATGATGACTCTGAGGAAAGGTGATACAGTTTGATAAAGTCAAAACTTTTCCTTGTGGACACTCATCCCCTTGATACAGAAATATCTTCTGTTACGGAGAATACTATTGATCCTATAGAAACAATAAATTTATTCCTCCATCTATAAAATTGCTGGCACTTGACTCTATCACTTGGTTGTCTTGGTTAAGTGTAGGTGTTACTGTATGTGCCTACTCAATGCAATGAGTAAGATTTTCTTTGGTGTGATCAAATTCAAAACTTAAGTAACTGAAGTGTTGTCTGCCTGGAACAGTGGCAGTATCTTATCTCCTCTTTTTGCAAAACAGGTTAACTACAACTCTACATAGTCAGACTGGGAAATGTAAAAAAAAAAAAAGACTCTCTTTTTGGACAATAGGATTGTACTTCTGTTGAGTAGAATGCTGCATTTTGTCCAGATTTGTGAGCTTGACTTTTTCATTCATTCAAACTCGGCTTGTGTGGGGTATCTCTAATTTTTGCATCTCAGATGTTCACTATTCCAGTTTGGGTGAAAAGCTAAGTTATTGTAAGTTGACAGATACAATGTTAATTCGATAATTATGATAAATTTAAAAGCTGAACTCTGACAGTTTATTTGACAATGTTGATCCTGTTTCAGTGACGATGAAGATGACACTGCCGAACTTCTTGCTGAGTTACAAAGAATAAAAAAGGAGAGGGCACAAGAAGAAGCAAGAAAAGTGAGTTTCAATTCTGAATGATGTACTGTGTAATGTTGTCTAGTATCTTCACAGGCCTTCTGAAATCACCATGCGAGAGGTTTTTAAAAATCAGTAAATTGTACATCCAGTGACAGGGCTGTGCTCTAGCATTGCCCAGTGGCCCCTGGCACCTCATGTTTGCTCCTGGGCAACTAGAAAACTTAGTGTTTTCATAAAGAAACATATGCAAGGCAATCTGGATTTCACAGTTTCAGCGCAATGGGCTGGTGGGCTTTTTACAATTTTTTTATAGGTTTCATTTTCATGGGAAAATTTAAAACAATTATCTTAGTTTTTTTGTGGAGAAAAGAGATTAAAGAATATACAATACTTTTGATATAATTTTTGTAAAAAGCCAGATCACTGATGAAAACAACTACTGATGAAACACAAAATATGTTTATTTCTTTTCTTCACAATAAGAAGGTATAGAATAAACGTCTTTTGGAATTTTTACATTTCTTATCTGCAGCTTATGAAAATTAATCATTACATGTACATGTGTATGTTATGCAATATTATCACTAGATTTATTATTTTTAACAAGCTTTCACAAAGTGTGTTTGAAATGTGTTTGGTATCTTTTTGAGCCTGCTGGGTAAGTGAAAAAAAAAACAATCCCTGCTGACAAGGAAATAAGATATCTGTCAATGTCAAGGGTAATTTTTTATTGCTAGTTAATTTTTTTTCAGTTGGTCACCATCCAACAGTATCATGTAATCTTCATCAGTATCTCAAATTCATGCATTTTAAAAGCTAACATGATTTTTCTGCCAACTAATGTGGGTCTCTAATTATTTTATAACAGGAAAGAGAAAAGAAAGAAGAAGAAGAGAGAATACGAATGGAGAATATTATGACTGGAAATCCTTTACTCAACACACAAAGCAATTTTAAAGTAAAAAGAAGGTACTGCAAAAATCCAGTATTCTTTTCTCTTGTGGAGATCTCCAATAACATTGATATGCAATGTTGTTCCCTGTTAGTGGTTGTGAAAAACTTTTGCTATTTGCCAATAGGCTCAAGCCACGTAAAAGTTAAAACAAGTCAATTGATTAGTACTGCATGCGCTAGTCTTGACCAATAAAGTGGCTGTGTGTGACAAGACCGATGCAATTACAGTAAAAACCGGCGAGTAAGAACCTGGTTTTTAAAAACCTTTTACAGTGGGCTAAAATTTGCCAGTTTGGGACCTTCTATACACTTAAGAACTTGTTTAGCCTAAAATTTGAAACAGGTTCTTATTTTCCAAAATCTATAAAAGAAATTCCTGTAAAATTGGGGAAATAAGACAAGTCAACATTCAGGATCCTCTGTGGAGACATTGGAACCTTATTACTCCAATTGTAAATATTATTGTATGTACAGCTGCAGATGTTATATGAGGAACAAGCTGAATACCACCAATTAAACCTTTATTTTACATGGCACTCATTTTCTGCCTCCTCATTGGCTAAGAGCTTACAGCTAATTTTGGAAATCAGCAAACGGTAATAACCTGATTCTCAGACATCCGAGGTCATTCCTGGTCTCTTCAGGAAAGAAGCAAAGGGACCGAGAACAACCTCGGACGTCTGAGAATCAGGCTACCCAACCTACAGATTAGATAGTTATCTGCTAGCAGATAAGTGACAAAACAATGTATAATAAAACAATAATAATTCATTATTAAATTCGGTTTTTGTGATTCCTAAATAATCAAGGTCTCACTAAGTGTTATCATCCTTGTGGCCTTCGGCCCGGCCGATAACACTGACATGTTCCTCAACCTCGATTATTCTGGATATCACAAAAACCTCATCCAGTAATTGTTTATTACCTACAATGTATAAAAAATAAATAAATAAATAAATAAATAAAAACTTATTTAAGAACCTAAATAGCCTAAATTTGTTCTAAATGTAATTACCATTTTTCCCTAACCTAACTAGGGAAAGTGTACATGTAGGTTTTTAGTCACAGGTTTTACTGTAATGTCAAATTCTCCCTTTGTCTTTCAAGTAACTAAGGCAAGGCCATGTTTGCTTGGTCACCAAGTGATGTCTAACAGTCAGCTTTTACAAAGCAGTCATTGTCATATACCGTAAAATTCCAAAAATAAGCCCCTCCATGTATAAGCCCCCCAAACCGGTAACGCAAAAAAACCCTCCGTTAAATTGCCCCTCCAAATATAAGCCCCTCAGGGGCTTGTACTTGGAAAATTGCCCTCAAATACAGAGTGAAACGAAGCAAAAATAGTAAATTTACTTCCAACTATAAGGGTAGCTCAATGGATTTTGAAACGCAAATTTCCTTCTGTAGATAAGCCCCTCCAAAAATAAGCCCCTCAAAAAGGACCTTTGAAAAATATAAGCCCTGGGGCTTATTTTCAGAATTTTACAGTATTCCCACGCAATCTAAGACTAAATAATATTTTTTTTACTGCTATAACTCTCTGTAGGAACACAACTTTTAAGAAAACAGTCTAAGAGCTGGCCCCAAGGGTATTCGGCCTTGAAGCAATCACTGCATACTAATTTAACTGGTGACTTCTTTATCATTTTAGGTGGGATGATGATGTTGTATTTAAGAACTGTGCAAAGGGGGAAGACGAAAAAAAGAAAGTAAGTTTATACCTATGTGAGAGAGTGACCAGGATTAACTTGTATTACATTGTATATATAATACCATATTTTTCGGTTATAAGGCGCGCTCCGTTATAAGACGTACCCTGATTTTTTAACTTGTACTAAATAAAAATAAATACTTGGTTATAAGACGCAACCCCAACTTTGTGCTTTTATCGCCATCTTCACTTGCAAAATAACAGCGTTTTCAAAGTTCCTAATTACAGTTATGTCTCCTTTTTTTCAACAAAGGGACGATTCTTGCATTTCGTTTCATGAAAATACTTGGTTATAATACTCACCCCAATTTTGGAACAGATCAAGATTGATCAAGCAAAATGTCTTTGAAAAAATGCTGCGCCTTATAACCGAAAAAATACAGTAATCTTCAAACTGCTTTTCATGAAACATAATTGCAAAGTATAGTCAAACCTCTGTTGCACCAGCCTCCTTTCAGCCACTGTCCATTTAGCAGCTAGATTCTAAAGTCCCAAAAGCAGGAGGAGGATGGCTGTGTTGATTGCAGCCAATTTTAAGGCAGTGGCATAGAAACAGCATTTTCAATTTTATAAAAATGTTTCAGATGTATCTTTAGTATCAATGTCACAACCAAATATGGTTAACTTAAGTATTGGTTTTACTTTGTTTCAGGAGCAACACTTTATCAACGATACCCTTCGATCAGAATTCCATAAAAAATTTATGCAAAAATATGTGAAATAGACCGTGGATGCAACTGATACCTGACCACGATTGATTCAATGATGACCTTGGTGCTTATTGGAGACTGGGATCTGTAAAACTTTTGTTTTGTTTTTTTAATCTCTGTAAAGCCTGGATCTCAGCTTGTATAACTGTAAAATGGGTCACCGGCCTCTTTTTCCTCTCAGAGTGAATAATGATGTCTTGTAAGATGCTACTAACCGATTTACTTTAAAACAGAACAGAGAACACCCTAGACTTACCCACTAGCCAAGCTCAAAGTGAGAAGAGAAGGACTTTGAGAAAGTATCAAATTAGTATCAAATTTCTCCTTGTAATATCACTGCTTTGTAAAACAGGGTGGTCATGAGAATTAAGGACATGATTACACAATATGAATCTAATTGATACTTGAACAAATTCTCCCCACTTCTTCTATAGAAAACATATAGGGATAGCAAATGAGAATTTGAATGTTAGGGTTAAAAGGGTTAGCAGGGATATCCTGAAATACTCTCCAGAACACATCAAAATAATGAATCAAACAAACTGAAAAAACACTTATATTTTCAGTACACACTAGCCTGAGTATTAGGTGTTCCTCCATCCCTTAGCCCCCCAGGATGGCCTGATACTCAGGCTTTAAGTACACACTTATTTTACAGATTAGGGTTAAACCTTGCAAGGTTGTTCCAGGGGACTTCTAAAATGTTCAGAGTCTTAGTACTGACTTAAGCCCCATTCACACCAAAGGTTTAACATGTTAGTACAACACAGTTTAAATTTGTATTCTTTGTGGTTCCTTACTATTCTTTTATTAATTGGAAAATGATATTGTGTAATTAATGTTAATTTTTAATATTGTGAATTCTGTGTAAAAGCCTGTGTTCTGGTTTTCTTTTATCATTTTCTTAAACTTAGATTAATAAACATGTTTAGTTGGACTGAATGGAGCATTAGTCTTAACTTTTGAGTCTGTGGCAGTCTCATCCTCGTGCCAGTTCTCACAATGTGATGGAGCAGACTGGCTTGTGACTGAACTTGCAGATATCCAAGGCCTAGCAGGAAATGGCAAAAAAAGTCCCAGATGATTGATTGATGAACAGGACCTTTTCTGGCCGAGAATCATGGAATATTTTATATATATTTAGTTAAATACATCTCCTCTGAACATTTGTTGACCATAGGATGGTAGAAATGAAATGTGGTGGCCGGGTTTTGTTTTTTGCTTCTTTTTTCCTTGCAAAATAGTGAGTTAAGCTGCACCATCCCATTTGTGTCCATTTCATCTAGACTTATGTTGCTGTTTCAAGGCCATTTCATTTGTTGGAATTTAACCCCCAACATTTACAGGCCCTCACCATTTTGGATTTTAAGTTTTGTGCCAGGTATCTCAGGAAATTTTCTGTGACTTCACACACAAACTATGGGACTGAAGTGAGTCTGTCAATGAAATCCTTGGGTGTGACTATTCAAATAGAACCTCCTTGGCAGTACTTTAACATTACACTATTTGTTTTTCAGCATTTTTCAAAGTAAAATGTGAAAATTTTTGTCAAATTTTGACTAAGGCTTCTTTTGGGAGTGAAGGGGACAAAATGAAGTAAATCACATTGTATGACAGTGAAGCAGTACTGGTCTTGATGAAAAATAGCACTGTTTATGTAGATCTGTTATATAACCTCTGTAAATAGCAACCTTTTCACATCTGGCAACAGTCGTTTACTTTGATAACAAAACAAAGTAGTGCAAAACCTTAATAATTCCATTTTATTTGTTTTTGTTTTTTTTATGTGTGTGTGTTTTAAGTTCACCAATTCATGAAATATGTGAATGGAAATTTTCCACTTGAAATGTAGACTGTATGTAGTGTATTATTTTAAGGCATACATTTTCACACACTATTTTCTTTTCTTTTAAATTTATTATCATGTCAACAATTATTTCATCAAATAGGTACATGTATTTTCTAAAGCAAGTAACTCATTACCACTGTCATCTATCAGTGTTTTTGATACGATAAAGTATTATAAGGAAAAAAAATTCAACCAAGGATAAAATTGCACCACAACATCTACACCAGTCTTTCTTTTGATATCATTCATTATTTACACACACACAAAGAAGCTTATAATATATTATTATATAATAATACTGGTGGAGTGCCTCACTGCTTGAGAAGTCTGAGTGAGTAAAGCCTCTTATTTGCCTTTTTAATATGTAGTCTACATGATGGGTCCACTTCAGATCATTACTAATATAAACTCCAAGAAGTTTATGCACCACCAGCCTTTCGATTGTGTTGCCTGCACCAATGGACATAGGGTTAATAATGAAATTATGGTTGGTCATAAAATTAACTATCATCTCCTTACATTTGATCGGATTCAGTTTTATTCTGTGCTGCTCAGAAAAAGGCGTAGATATCATTAGTAGCAAAGTCAAGTAAGCTAACACTACTTCTAGGGATTATTTGTGGTGGTATATCGCTAAATATTATTTTGCATGAATCAATGCTATACAAATGTTGTCTTATCTTACTTAAGGTTAAATGTCGTCCTTTACCTCAAAAGTTGTATTTCGGACAATTCTGAACGAAGGATCTACCATATGTCTCTTTTTAATAGAAAGACCTCCCTATGAGCTTATAATCTTAATAATTATCGGTTACACATACAGACTGTTTGGGCTGCCTGTAATATATAATCTAAATTTCTGATTTACAAACTAAGTATCAAGCAATAGAGGAACGGACATTTTACCATTCTTTAATCCGTCCATAAATTTAACTCTTGGTTTATACTTAAACCAACACAAACTAATTTCCTCGTTTATGTTACCACCTTCCATCACAAATAGTTAGCAAATTGCCTGTTTGCACTTTAACAAAACTCAAAAATTTACTAGCAAAGCGAAGCATTGGAAGTTTGTAAAAGGTTATGGGATCCTCTCATCCACTGTGTCTGAGGTCCAGACTTAGCGCTGGGACTTAAATCCGGGAGGCTTTTGCAATAGGAATCCATTGCGCACGATCTTAATACTGTCTTTTGATTTTCCAAAGGTATAAATTGTGTCATGTACAGATTTAAATACCTGCCCCTTTTCTGGCTTTCAATAAGAGTCCGATGAGTAGTAAAATTTCTGAAGAAGTGCAGTAAATTGAATATCATCATCATTCAAGAAATCAATGTTTTCCACAGAAGGCAGTTTTTGGAAATCTATGCTGACAGGGTTGAATCTATGATCAACCTCCGAAGGATGAAAATAATTTGCCTAAACAGCTTATGACGCAAAAACATCAGCATGTAACTGGAGTTCTCATACTTGTCATCTGGTTAAAACGGGAATGGGGGTAGCACATCTGATTGAAGTCCCGTTCACACTAAATGCATTTTCATTTGAAAACGTATACATGGTAATGCTTGTAGGCCTTCTGTCCACACTAATACGCCAAGTGTTTTCATCAAAAATGCATTGATTTGAAAATGCTCTTGAAAGTGAATTAAAACAGAAACGCATCAAAATGAAAATGATGACCGAAAATGTTACAGGCACGTGTTTTTGTAGCATGTGCACAGAATTCAACATGTTCAATTTACGTCACAATGTGCAATTTTATTGTGAGATACTAAGGGGACTCTTGACTCACTGCACCACCAGTACCTCAAGCTCAATAGTAAGATTGCATATATGAAAGTCTTTGTGTGAAGATTGTAACAAAAAATAAAGTAATAAAAATACATCAGAATTTCTTAGCTTTTTTTTTCTTATTTTATTTATGGCGTGTTCTATGCTCTATTTATTGCTGTTTTTATAGTATGAACCTACATGATGGTTCCCAAACGACGAGAAGGGTTTAAACCAAGAAGTAAGGAATGTTAAAATCCTAGTCAGCAGCGTGTAAGCGGGCACTGTCCCATGCATATATTCCAACAACCATTCCATCTTTTCTTAAGGCAATCTCCGGTGTGGCACCAGATCCTGGCCAACGCATATCATCCATGTCATAACGCTGTACGTCTCCTACAATACCAAGGATATCATCTCTAAAGGTTCTAACAAACCCTTGCAAACGTGAAGACACAAGAAGTAATGGTTGCCAATAAAAGGTCACATCAGTCGTTGTGCAGTCAGTTCTAAGATAACTCAGCTCTGGGACTTTAATCCAGAAGCCTTTTGGAACTTTGTTCCATTTCTGCCCTTCATCAGCCGGCTCATCATCCCCAGGTTTAAATTCACTTGTATAAATATTAAAATACCCGGACGTCATGCGGCATTCAAGAAGCGTTCGATGGGTAGTAAAATTTCTGAAGAAGTTGAGTAAATTAAATGTCATAGCATCATTCCATTCATCGAGAACTTTAACTGAGTTCAGTTCCTTGAAATCTATTTCAGGGTTAAACGTGCGATCGTCGGGCCCTGTTTGTTGAGGATGTCGGATTTCATGGGCATAAAAAAGCTTTGAAACGCCATTGCCGCTTTGGACCTCTTTTCCGCTTTTGTCTACTTCCTTGATTGCTTGCATGGCAATCAAACGATCCTGGAAGTGCCTAAGCTTTCCAAGGTCAATATTCTGGTATTGATCACCGAATATCTCCTTGCACCGATCTTCAACCCACTTGTTGCGGGCCTTCTTACATTCAGGGGCATTATCCCGATTAGGATATTGGGAAAATTTTAGACTTTGCTTCATCGGCTGTTTTATGTCAAACGCTGCATTGGTGAATGACACCCCGCCATTATTCTGGAAACGGCAGTACAAGAAATAAAAAAGGTGGTCTAAAACTGAGTACAGATACGACACCATGTCCCTGAAAATCATTGCAGTAGTCGCCTCCATACTTCTTAGCCATTCTTCATTGCTAATGTTGTTGTCGGAGTGAAGCATCCATTGAATACAGTTAAGTTGGGCGTTACATACCCGGGCTTCCCTTAAAACAAGGTCAATTGCGTCAACAGTTACCGGCGTTGCATCCATGGTCTTCCAGGAATGTCGTCGCTGGTTCATATAAACGTATTGAAACGTGGGTTGAGAAAAAAGATGCTTTCTCGGACTACGAAACCAAGACAGGGCTGATAACGTACTACGCATGTCCGTGCCATCCCGGGGTGACATCATTTGTTTACTCAACGAAACAATGGATGGGCGGCCTGGATGGGCAGAATGGGCAGTGGCTCGGGACCAGCCTAGTCCCTAGGCCTTCTCGGCTCGGTCAATCCTGGACTCTACCGTGAGCTGTGACGTCACCGAGAGATACGTGCCGAGACATTTTGGGTCAAGGGGGGGTAAGCTACTTCCCATACATTCTCTTAAATGAAATCCAAACGATGTTCTCACAACTTGCAAAGCGATCAGCAAAGGTCTTGCCAGCGGATTTGTGTAGTGATCATGCGCATTACGTCAAAATCCATAGATCAACGGTCTTGAGAAGAAACAAAAACATGGCGATCGAAGGCGGGACTGTTTCTCACGATTATATTTTGGTAATTCGCAAATTTATTGATTTTATGTCGCTTTTCAGACATAGTGTGTGGTTTTCTTTTTCTGTTAAACAATTTCCCTCTGCAGAGTTTGGAATATGCAACATATAGCTCGATCCGTACAGCTGATAAGAACCGCCGAAGAGCTAGAGTTGAGCTATCAAGCAGTGTTTTGCTGCAAACCTTAGGAAAGTTAAAGTCGCTTCAAGGTACAGAGCTTTCAGTAGTAGTTGTGATTTGTTTATTAGGATCGTTTTGAATTTTAACTTTGGATTCAAGGTGTTGACTGATCGTAATAAACGAAATGAAATGTTATGAAGTGTGAATGTTTATTCAGTTATGATTGTAGAGCTGTAAGCTCATATTTATAAAGCTCTCTGAATTACTTGCTTCCGATAAATTTGACACTTTCTCCAGTAAT